CTACATGAGACCCTGTCTCAAAGAAAATAACTATCTACATAAATAGACAGAAGCTGCCTGTAATTTTTATCTCCTGCTAGATTAAAAACTCCATGGTGTGGTCCTCTTTCATGACAGTGTGCAGCAGCAGTGGGCCTGGCTTCCTGAGAGCCCCACAATCATGAGGGAAAACTACTGCATTTGACTGTGCACTGGGTCACTAACATGGGAAAGTCATATGCATTTCTTACTTATGATGCTTGCAACGTACAATGAGTTTATCCTGCCACCACCCCAGCCCACCGGAAGGCTCCTCTGTGCTCCTGTGCCCATGTATCAGTTCAGAAAACTGAAGCTAAGTTGCTGACTGGATCCACTTCACCAAAAGGCAGTGAGCGCTGAGATCAATATTCAAGCAGTCTGTCCCAGGCCTGTCCCTTACTGCCACACACAGCAGCATGCCAAGCAGTCCTGGGCTGGACTCTAGTGGAACCTCACCCTGACATGTTCTCATGCCTTTCCCACACCAATGGCCTCGCAGTCACTGCTACACCCAGAGCTGCACTTCAACTGCTTCTGTACCCTGTGACAGGGCAGGACAGTCACACCTGCAGTTCAAGCATCTGGGAGGCCAAGGCAGGAGGATCAGGGGATCCTGAGTGTGAGGACAGCCCGGGCTGGCTACTCAGTGAGTTCCAGGTCAGCCTGGATACACAGAACCTTCCTTGCAAGTTTGAGAACCCGAATTTAATTTCAAAATCCAAGTTTAAAAAAATTGCTGGGTGTGGGGTGCTCACCCGTAACCACAGTAGTGACATGGGGACCCCCTGAGGCTCACTGGCCAGCCAACTGAGCCTATTTGGAGAGCTCCAGGCCAGTGAGCCCCTGTCTGGATAACAAAATGGATTATCTCCTGGGGAATCATAGCCAATTGCCCTCAGGCCTCTACACACATGTCCATGTGCACCTGCACATACGTGAAAAGAGAGGCAGAGCGACACGGAAACAGAAGAGAAGAGGAGGAGGGAGGGAAGAGGGAGAGAAAGAGAAACCAACCACCCCCAAAACAAAGCCCCTTAGTGTAGGATCCTGATGTTAGGGTGTCAGCCCTCTCTGTTCTCTACAGTTCAGTTTCAGCCAGGAAACAGTGGTCACACCAGTGTTTGCCAAACTCTGCTTTTTGGTGTCCTGAGGGTTCTGCAGGGCCAGCTGTGTGTGTCGGGGTAGGGGGTGACAGGAGATTCGGAGAGCCCCACACCCCATCTCCTCTGAGCCAGCCCGAATTCATCTCTGTTAGTTGGGGCTGCTGGATGAAGTCACGTTTGCTGATTTGGTCTCACAGTTTTCAAAAACCTTCGAAGGAGTCTGAAGTATGTGAACCAGCAAGGGTCTCCACGCAGCCGAACTGTACAGCGTGAGGTCAGACGCGGGCAAAGTGACAGGAATGCACGGTGATATTCTTCTTGTCGTGACTTTCCTCTTCCGCCGCCCTGCCTAGGAAAATTCTACCTCCCATGCCCCAGTCCCTGCTCACTGTCCGTGACAGACAGCTGACAGAAGCAACTTAGCAGGAGGGGCCTTCACTTGGCTCAGTTTCAGAGGGTCTCCGTCCATCATGGTGGAAACCATCACCTCCCAGTTCAAACTCCTCCACTGGTGGGGTGTCTACCCTACCTCTCCCTTTTAAGGTCCCTTCTCTGTTCACATGCTGACAGTTGTCTTCCTGCCACCACACCAGTGGGCCCTAATGCCCCTAAACCTGCCCCGCTCTCCCCAGAGGACAGAGTACTCCTCAAACAGTTAACTCCTAGGTCTCTTGAACCTCAATGAACAGGACCTCACACAGTAATCCTCACCACCCTCTCGGCTGCTAATCTCTTGGGACACCCATGCTGGTACCATCTCTCCCTCCAGGCTCAAGCAGACACCTACTCAAGACACTTGGTCTGCCCAGCAGACAGGACCTTCCACCCTTCGGTTTTCCAGGATACCACAATGAAGGGCCTACCTGCTCCTCACTCTGGCACGCTCATCTTTAGCGATAACAATTTTTTCCCAGACACCTGCCTTCTCATCTCCCCCAAGGAACAGCTGCCTGCCTTCTCCGGGATGACAGTTCATGGGATGCCTTTCCAGCCACACCTCTTGCTAAACATGGACACCTAGCTCTCCCCTTCCTCATGCCGCCCTGTTCCCGCAGGAAGTGGCCAGATTTGAGTCTATGCCCTTTGTTCCCAAAGAGAGCCTAAATGTTTGTCATAATTACCATTCCAATTTTCTGTCACCCCTATATCCAAAGAGTCTGGAATATCAAGTTGGGAGCGTAGGTCCCAGCCCCTCGCATCTATCCCAGTCCACAGGCCTGGTCTGGACTCCAAATCCCAGCAGGCCAGGTCCTGACCCCTCCCTGGGGATGGGGTCAGGACCACTCCCCAGGGTATTTAAGGGATCTCCCGGAAGAGGAACACGTGGTCTCCCTTTCTTCCTCCCGATTTCCCCCTCAGGGCCACCCGAGAGTGCAGAACTCCCATTAAACCTGGATATTTCTTAATTCGACTTGTTTTGATTTGGCTTGATTGGGAATTTTTGCGTCGGCAGGGAGCTCGTGTTAGGAAATATTCCTAACACAGGTCCTACAGACTGAATGAAGGTTATGCCTGATGTCCCAGCCCTTGTCACAGTAGTTAGGAGGAGGATATGAGGTGGTAGGTGGACCTTTCTTCTCCCAGGTCTCAGGAATAAGCAAGGCATCTCATATCCACCTGCATGGACACTCTCCCCTCAGCCTCAAATGTGGCCTACTTGGAAGGCCCCTAGGGCCAGAGATTTCAAATCTAGAGATAAAGTTTTGCAAGGGGCTAGGTCAGAACCTTGCCACCATGTGTGCCCAGCAGGTTCACAGCCTGCTGACAAAGCATTATTCTGCTGTTTCACGCCAGAACTATTTATTCTTACAGTCTCAGGGGGAAAGTTCGGGGCACACTGCGACCCCTCACTGCCTGTCAACCACCCAGCTCTGTGATGAAACTCTCATGGTCAGGTTTGGCTTCACCTTGGAGCAGCATTCTATACCTCTGAAAGAGCTAATTCCAGCATTTGGAAGGAAGAGGCAGGTGGATATCTATGAGTTCAATGTCAGGTAGGTCTGCATTGTGAGTTCCAGGACAGTCAGAGATACATAGAGAGACTATGTCTAAAACCACAACAAAAAACAAACCCAAAACAAAACAAAAGCAACTGGTAATAATAGGCATAAAATAAATAGGATTTTGAATATTTTCTCCACAAAGATTGTGCTTTGAGAAGCCATGTTTCAGCTGGCCTAAACACTGTACACTGCACGTGGATCCAAATACCAACTGGCACACCGTTCTAAATATACATCATGTTATCAGGCATTTAGAGTTGACAAGATGGTACAGTGTGTTGATGAACTTTCTGCCATACACAATGAGCCAAATCCAATCCCTGGGACCCACACGGTAGGAGAGAACACTCTTACAAATTATCCTCTGCCCTCCACATGCAAACTCCAAGTACACACATTAATGCCATTTGAATAAAAGCAAATAAATAAATAAATTCAAACAAAGCAAAGACACAAATGCCTATGCTCTGGAAAAGAGTGGAATTCAAGACTGATCTCCAAAGCCAGTCTGCAAAGTATAGTAGAGCATGCCTGTAATCCAGCACAAGGATGAGGGAGGAGGATTATGAGTTAGAGGCTGTTCTTTGCTACAAAACCAGATACTGTCTTGCGGGTGGGGAGGGGTGTTAGGTCTTCACTTAAAGAAACACTCATACACATAAAATAAATTATCGTTGGAAAAAATTAACATATTAGCCACAAACAGTGCTAAAACCCTTTAATCCCAGGACTGGAGAGGCAGAGGCAGGCAGATCTCTGAGTTTCAGGCCAGCTCCCTCTCTATACTGAGTTATAGACCAGCCACGGCTACAGAATGAGACACTGTCTCAAAAAAGATAAGACTTTTACAGCAGCCAATATAAAACCAATAGGTACTGTTGGGTCCCTAGAGGACAGGCCTTCGCACCCCCACTTGATCTGTTTTGCACTCTTGCACTTGGTTGAAAACAGGAACAAAACAGGAACAATTTGCTGTTTTTAGCAATGTTTCTAGGGATGTTTACCCCTAAGCCATTGAGTTACGGTGATGAGCTTGCTGCTTTTGCTGTCTTGGCCTCCCCTGCTGAGGGCTGTATGTACTGTGTGAGAAAGTGGAATAAAGGCTTGTCTGCAGAACCTGAAGTTGTGTTGCGTGTCAATCCCGACGTCCCTCGCTCAGAAGAACGACAGTTGCCGTGCTGGCGCGGCAAGGTACCACTACATAATGATGAACCACACATGACAGTGGTCCTGTAACATCCTAAAGGAGCCCCCAAAAGTCCCGTCTATGAGCCTGAGGTGTCACAGGCATCAGAGCATCCAGGACAATGCCCATGTCCTTGTGGCGGTGGGATGTCAACAGGTCCATGCTGCTCTCAGATAAAGTGCAGCACGCGCCATTCTGTGCAGTGGTTAAAGCCCAGAGCAAACACTGTGGTTCTGGGTTAACTCCACTGTGCGTCTGTAGCCTCTTGGTTCTTTATAAAGACACACGGGATGGGAGATTCATACTACACGTGATGTGGTGGGGTGTGGACAGGGGAAGCCCTCAGAAATGCAGGCTGCCATTTGTCCAGGCAGCAACTGTGGATGTATCTGAGTCAGCAGCTATGGGACAAGTCATTGTGTCTCCAAGTTCACCTGCATTAAACACAGTGAAGCCCCACGTCTCTGAGGTATGGGTCTCTGTTGGTCAGAGAACTAAACTTGACTCTACACAAGGCCTCACTCACAGGTTCCTTATTTTGTAGTTTGGGGAAGATGGACAAAATTAACTGACCAGCATGAACTCTGGCCACTGTGTCCTGGGGCTTCTCAAAGGCACCCTGCAGATCTTCCTGGAGCCAAGGCTAGGGACAGCACTGAAACTGGAGACAATGATTATCTGCAAGAAAATTGCCTTGAAAGTCCCTCAAGAAATCATATAAGCAACAGGCTGCCTACACTCCCAAGGAAGTCCCTGTTTGCAATCCTTACACTCCATGTTCCTGCCAGGAAAGGAACTGGGTCGGTCTGCTCAATTGGCTACAGACTGTTGATTTTTTTTTTCTTTTTGAGACAGAGTCTCATGATGCTGCCCTACTGGGTTAAACAGGCAGATGTCACCAGGTTTGTCATCATTATTTGAATGTATTTGAATGTATGCATCTTTCAAAGCCTCTGTCAATCAGTTTGTTGTGTCATACATTGGCAGGAGCCATATAGATTTTGATCATATTAGAGGCAGCCTGGGGGGACTGGAGAGATGGGGGGGATGGAGAGTGGTTAAGAGCACTGGCTGCTCTTCCAGAGGTTCTGAGTTCAATTCCCAGCAACCACATGGTGGCTCACAACCATCTGTAATGAGATCTGGCGCCCTCTTCTGGCGTGCGGGCATACATGGAGGCAGAATGTTGTATACATGATAAATAAATAAATCTTTTAAAAAATAGAGGCAGGCTGGTGAGCCAGCTCAGTAGGGAAAGGTACTAATCACTGAACAGCACTTTCCAGGGAATCACTGTTGGGGGCTGTGGACCCAGACCCTGTATTTTCCTGTAAACAACTTGTTACACTTGCAGCTGCTCTGAGCAAAACAACTTGTTTTCCTGTGTTTGTAGCTACTCTGAGCATGATACCCTTAGGAGTTCCTGATGGCAGGGGAGTGGTTTCTGATGGGTTTGACTGGGGCGTGGCTATCAGTTAAGGATCCATATATAAGCAGCTCTTGTACACAATAAAGGGGGCATTCTTGTTTCAAGGATGACCGTGTCTCTGTCTGTGTGTCTTTGTGTGTTTAAATCTCCAGGCCCTAGCCCAGCTCGAGAATGGTCCTGTAGTGCAGAGTTAGGACTATAGGCGTAGTACCACAGTACACATAGTAGTACAGACGGCACAAACCACATGGTAAGAGAGGACCAACTCCTTCAAGTTGCCCTCTAGCCTCTGCAGATGGGCCATGGCATGCATGTCTGTGCACATACTTGCATATGCATACATGGGTACAACTGCAATTTTCTTTTTCTTTAATTAATTAATTAATTTATTTATTAAAAACTTCCACCTCCTCTTCACCTCCCTTTTCCCTCCCCCTCCCCACCTCCCCCTCCCTCTCTAGTCCTAAGAGCAGCCAGGGTTCCCTGCTCCGTGGGAAGTCCAAGGTCCTCCCCGCTCCATCCGGGTCTATAAAGGTGAGCATCCAAACAAATCAGGCTCCCACAAAGTCAGTCCATGCAGTAGAATCAAAACCCAGGGGAGACAGGTAGAGAGAAGGGAGAAGGGGAAGATTCGGGAGAGCTTGGGGGAATGGGATGGGTGGGATGGAGGAAGGGTGGATATGGGAGCAGGGAAGTAAATATCGTAATTAAGGAAGCCATTTAGGGTTTGCAAGAGACTTGATTCTAGAAGAGGGGTTCCCAGGCCCAAGAAGAGGTTCCCAGATTATTCCTTGGGCAGCAGAGGAGAGGGTGCCTGAACTGGCTATGTGTCCCATAGCCACACTGATGAATATCTTGCATATCACCATAAAATCTTTATCTGGCGATGGATGGCGATAGAGACAGAGACCCACATGGGAGCACTGGCCTTAGCTTTTAAGGTCCAAATGAGGAGCAGAAGGAGGGAGAACGTGAGCAAAGAAGTCAGGATCACGAGGGGTGTGTCCACCCACTGAAACGGTGGGACTGATCTAATGGGAGCTCACCAAGGCCAGCTGAAATGGGAGTGATGGAGTGTCCCGCGCTTCCGTCTTGCCAGCAAGAACCACGCGGTACACATAGGATACTTCTGCAGTAAAGCTTTAATGCCCCTTGGGAGAGCGGGCATCAGCCAACATGGCGGAGACCCAGATAAGATGGAACCCATCCCTTATAAAGGAAACAGACCCTGCTTCGGACGTGTCACTCTTGGATTGGTCAATTGTCCATAATCCCAGGTGAATGCCTCGGGAGTAGGCAGGGACTCAGTGGGAAATTACCGAGCACATGTGCGTTCACCTGGTGGTGAAGCCGGATGTCAGTGCCATCTTGATAATGGAGAATGTGGCTGCGGCCTTCTACATCTCCCCCTAATTTTACTTCTTTGCAGAAAGGCAACTCCCTAGGAAGGTAAAGATAGAGGTCGCACTTCCCAAAATGAAAACATTAAAATGGGCTTACACGGAATCTGTCCCTAGGCTCATGACACCTGGAACCTATCCGGCCTGTCCTCTGCCATTTTTCTGGGAAAGGGAATATACGGCAGGAAATCCTTATGCAGAGCGACTTATCTCTCAGAGAGGGCCATTCTCTGTGCGATGCTCTTTAGCTCGACAACCTTCAGGGCTAGCTAAGCCAAGCACTCCACCCTGTGCAATGGACCACAGTCCTAGGGGTGCAGGAGCTGGTTGGCTTAAACCTTACTGCTTTAACATAGATAACCACATATCAGAAGAGGCTCCCTGTTCTAGGGCAGCCAGCGCTGTGCAAAAACCACTTTGTCCCTAGGACTTTGGGATTTGAGTCAGCAGACCATCCAGAGGAGAAACACTATTCCATAGCATAGGACTGTTCCAAAACATTTCCACCCCCACCCATTCTTTGAAGTAGGGAAAGAAAGACACAATCCAGGACTGGAATTCTTCGTCCAAGCTTATGTCTACCCGCGTGGAGTTGATTGTCACGATGGACCGTCTCAAGGAGGACAGCAAATCATCAAAATTCTCCTGCAAGATACAAAGACAATTCTCGGGACAAGTTAGCCATTTTTATAAAGTTCTCATATGGTACACTGGTCACACATAAGGCTGGAGTTTTCCATTTACAGCCCAATTGGGCAAGCTGTCATAAGATATCCACCTGTTCTTGTACTAGGTCAATTATTTAATTAAGAACCATTATTCCACCTCTAATAGATGTATCTATGGTAGCCTGCTGATCCAGGGCTGTAGCCACTGTGGTAGATAACTGATTGAGGGTCTTTGTTTTCCATGGTATAGGCTGTGCTGCCATTTAAAAAATGTATAATGAACAGAGCATCGGGGGCAGTTCCTTTATTATTCCCCCCCTTTTTGTTTAAATAGATATTTATCCAATTCTTAATTTGAATAACCATGGCATTTTGTAACCTGTCTTGAAGATACCCATAGTGTTTAGCAGAAATAACTGACAGGATAAGGGAAACTGATAGCAAACAATAACTGACAAATCAAGGGGAAATCCAGCAGCACAGCAATGGCACAGCAACAACAACACTGTAATGTACAGCAACAATAGCACAGCAATAACTGACAGACCAAGGGCAGGAGCTGGACCATCCCTCAGGAACCTGCCAGCTCCGCAGCAATCAGGCCAGACAGCTCCATAGCAGAGGCTTTGTCCTCAGGCCTCTGGACAGATGAATCCACAGCATGAATAGTAGCATTCCTAGAAAAAAAAACATCTCCCAAAATAACATTTAAGAGTATTAAAAAACTCAGTGTAAAAATTTAGCACAGTCAGTACTGGAAGTAGGCTGGTCTTGAACTTAGAGACCTATAGGTCTCTGTTTGTTGATATTAGATTTAAGATTTATTGGCTCCTGTATTCCTTGCCGGTACGGTGGCCTTGGGTTCCAGAGCCCACCCCTCCATTCTCCGAGGCCCTGGGCCTGTTTGCTGTGCGGCTCCGCCTGTCCCGGGCCAGGAAGTGGTGGCTCCACCCCCAGGCGCCCCAGCCTTCCCCGCGGGGCTAGCCTAGTTCTCTGAGGCTGTGTTGGTGGCAGAGTGTGGCGGGAGCCGACACTCAGACCGAGGCGGCACAGGCAGCAACATCTCAAGGTTCGCGCCAGAGCCGCTGCGGCTCAAGGGGCCGATGGGAGAGGCGGCGAACGGGGCCGCTTCCCTACTAGCAAACTCTCAACACCTGTGCCACAGCAAAAGCGGCTGTAAACTCTCACAGATCCAGCCAACGACCCAATCACCCCGAAATCCAAGGGCCCTTCGCATCCATCTCCCTGCGGAACCTGAAACATCAGACAAGCCAAGCGTATACACAGCAATCTTTCAGGAGGACTTGAATTCTTAAAATGCTAAGCAGTTCTTAAAAACTAAGTCGCACTATGTAGATGTAATACGGTACTGTCTGTTTACTGTATCTAAACCTTAATTGCGCTTTTATTATGATAAATACGACCAGCCCTGCCTGAAATCAGCATTGTTTAGCATAGCGCGCATGCAGCTCCGGACATCTAAGGGCATCACAGACCTGTTATTGCTCAATCTCAGGTGGCTGAACGCCACTTGTCCCTCTAAGAAGTTGGGGGACGCCGACCGCTCGGGGGTCGTGTAACTAGTTAGCATGCCAGAGTCTCGTTTGTTATCGGAATAAGCCCTCTGGCCCGGCTGCCTGTGGCACCGCTCTCACTCCCGGGTAAACACTATAACATTTCAGGAGGTCTCGGTGATTCAAACCACGTGGATCTCAAGCACATACTTAGGCTCCCATCCTCCGTGGAGGCGAAAACAGAACCTCTCTCCCAAAACATCATATTCTTAAGCCCATGTTTTAAATTTAAACTACCTTTTTTAGCAGTTCCTAAATTCAAATATCTTTCTCCTGTCCAGTACATAAAAAACAACACAAACAACATAACATAAAGCTTTTGACCTTGTAAATCAGCCTTCTCCCCCATTTTTACTTTTTTAAAATCACTGGGGGGTCCTTTTTAACTTATCTGAGTGCGCGCGCACAACCTCCCACTGCTGCTCAGTTTCTGATATGCTCTCTGGACTTAGAGCGTACCTCTCTAAGCATGCATGCCTGCAGTTCTGAATCCTTCCTGGTCTCCGGCGGTGCAAAGTTCTTCTTCTTCCTCCCGGGTATGGCACCAGATGCCCCACGCTTCCGTCTCGCCAGCAAGAACCACGCGGTACACATAGGATACTTCTGCAGTAAAGCTTTAATGCCCCTTGGGAGAGCGGGCATCAGCCAACATGGCGGAGACCCAGATAAGATCGAACCCATCCCTTATAAAGGAAACAGACCCTGCTTCGGACGTGTCACTCTTGGATTGGTCAATTAGATTCCCTAAAAGAT